TAATTGATTAGGCGATTAATCAAATTGAAAATCGAATCGTACATCGATTTTATAACATACAGGTGAAGAAATTAGGAATAGTTTAGTCATTTTCAAGGAAACACAGCTATAAAACCATTGGTGATATAACCTCTGATTTCTTTAATTATTTTTCCTTCACACGTAAATGATCAGTTTTTTTTATAATTTTGATTTAGAATTGAGGCGCGCTGAGTGTAATAATCTTGTGGAAATAATTGTTATTGGTAAAATTTGCCTGTTGAACATTTTTATGTACTTCTTACAAATTTTTGATAAGGGTTGAAATTAAAAAAATTTTTTTGGCAGATTTCATAATATTTTTTTTACACCAGGTTGCCTCTAGGGCTTCAGGCATAACAAATTTAAAGATAAAATTTGAAGGAAAGTTTATGTAAAAGGAAAAGTATTGCCGTATTTTTATATTCACTTTATTATTTAAATTTACCATGTATTTAGTAATATTTTTGAAAATAATACGTTTATACACGGTTTACAAATATTTCATTTTAATACCCATCTTGAAACCATATATATATTTAGCTATTTTGGCGGGTCTCAGCCATGTTGTGCCTGACACATGCGTCAAGTATTGAGACTGAAGGTAATAAATTTTCAAAGTTGAAACTTAACGTGAACTAAGACTTCCGTGAGTCGACTTACGGGAGTACTGCGGTACACTTAGCGCAGTCTTTTGTATGAATATAATATGACAGTTAATAACGGACATGGAAAAGAAAATGTTTTAGATATTTTAATATGTTTTATTGTCTCGTATTACTTCTTTAGAGATAACAATAATATTTTAAAATAAAACCTTATAATGAATAGATAAACGAATAACTTGTTCACTTCTGTGTACAAAAAGTACGCATTGTATTTCTCTTTCCTCGAGAGCAAATTCCGTTTTCAATTTTAAAGATTACCGCGGATTTAAATTACGGTTCCTATTTATATTTGAGGTAAGCCAACTAATCCTTCCCTCGGATTTCAAACTTTCTCAAATAACGCCCTGCTTCAGTAATATTGCTTACTTCTGTGTGGATTTAAGATTACCTTCGAGGTTAATATTGTAATTACGTTATAATATATGAATATGTGTTATATTTTTTATTACCTATTGTAATTGTTATATTACAATTTCTTACAATTACATTATTTACATTACACAAAAAACAACCTGTGGCCCCCTTGCGACTGTCATCCCTGAGGTAGGTTTGACCCCCAGTTGTGCGCTAAAGAACGATCTCTCTATGTTCTCGGTTAACACTAGCTCTTACGTTAAAGGAAAACGTGAAGAAATCGGCATGTCTTAGACTTAAAAAGTCCACGACGTGTGTCAGACACAGAAGGCTGTTCACCTTTTTGTCTATTAGAAAAAACAAATGATCCCGAGACATATATACAGAAATGTGAGATAGCTATAAATCTAAAATTGTTATATAATACACAATGTATTTATACATAATTCACGTACTTAGATCGTATATGGAGTCCTTACATAAAATTATATTTCATAATACATACATATACGTCATAATACATATTCGTGTTAAATGGATCGAGTAAGACATGTCAGACTACTACGTTTACACTAGTACTCAGAGTCATTAATTAAATTATCGCTTACGTAAATAATTAAAACTCAGATACAGTAAACGGCTGATAGTAGTGATTTTATGTACCGTAGATACAAACAGAGCAGATATTGTACATAGAATATATATCGGTTCATATGAGACCACACATTTACTCATTGCAGTTGAAATTCAATTTCATTTCCTATAAGAACAAACAAAGGCGAGCCATCGATTTATGGAATCAAACGACTCGGTCTAGATTGAAAGTTGAAGCCGCTGGCGAGAAATCGACCACTTCGGATTAATACTTCCCTCGGGTGCACTTTGGGTTGACATTTTAAAGTTTTTCTATATCTAAACGGTTTTTAATAGCCACCACAAGGTGGATGAAGATATCTAAGCATCTGTTTTGGTGATGTCTTTTCTTAAAAAGCAAATAGTCTAGCCCCTTAAGACATTTTTCTTACTTTCCAAGATAATTTTATTCACTTTAAAATGGCTTATGGTACAATTGTTAAACTTGTTGAACAATTGTACCATAAACTACTGTAGAGGGTATGGACTTTAGACTTCTTAACATATTAGTTAGTATACCCCATAACGACTTAACGAAATAAATCAATAATTTGAATAATCACCTGATAAACAGTATAATTTTCTGTAGTTATTTAAGGATAATAATTAAGGTCAGTCCGAAGTGGAACGAGGCATTGATTTTATACAAATCTTGCTTCACTGTTCAGCCAAAAATATATTGTTTCAAAAACTATTTCACATATATATTTATTATATAATAGACATTATTGGAAAAGGTTTTTTTTTAATAACTTAACTATAAATAGTTGCCATATTAATGAAGATTTCGATTACGATCCTAATTCTAAGAATGAAAGATTCCAGGAGTAAAAACGTGTAGTAAGAAGTTTAAATAGTTTTTGCCGCGTCTAGTAATCAAATCAACAGAATGAAGCAGTGACTCAAGTGAGACAGAAATATGACGTATAGTAATGATTGCCATTAAAATAATTTCTTTTAACGTGACGTCATGCGCAAATTTGAGTTAATTTAAGCACAAATGACTGCGTCGATCGACAACACTTTACCTGGTATTTAGTAGTGACCAGTATCATGCTAACTTACATGTTTTGTTGCTGACTAAGAAATAAAACGTCTTGTTGTCACGCGACAAAAACCATTTTAATTGGTACTTTATTCTTGACTATGGAGAGGCATGCAAGGCCCGAATTGATTTATATAAGGACTTCATATTTCCTTTTTTATCTTAAAGTACATAGGTAAGTTTAGTTGAATCAGTTTGGTCTTAAGAATTATAATGCAACAACTACTACACGACTTACATATGACTAAAAGTTTAACCTTAATTCGAAGTATTGTATAATTTACTAAGTGGGAAAATGAACATGTGTAGTAATAGTAATGTTCTTCGTTTCCTTAAAAATGAAAGTAATTTACAAAATAAGGACTACTGGTTTTATTTGTAGAAAATTGTCGCATTATAAATGAAACCATAGATGGATGGATAGTAAAAAAAATGCAGGGAAAATGACTTCTACAGAGCAAAAGCTCCGTAAAGATACATGTTTCTGTAATAAGGATATGAGAAGACTTTATATCAGACCTAAAATAACTGGATACTTCTTTTTTACATAACAGGGGGCAAACAGGCAGGAGGCTCATCTGATGTTAAATGACAAAATCTAAGTTCTGTAATCCTGCGGCACCTGAAACCCTGTTTAACCCGTAATAATTAAACGACTATAATATTCACACCTCGCAACAACCTATCGATCTTAATCACGATAATGTACGCACTAGCCATAATTTATCACGTTCAAAATATTTGTATGGGTTCCGAAATATTATCTCACTCATCACATTGCGGAAAGCTAAGGGTGCGTACTCACCAACACACGGGTTGTGGTTTACAACAGCAAAGATGCGATCACAACGTTTCTTCATGTGGGTGTTGGGGCAGATGCAGCCGAAGAGAGGGGATAGACGTAAACCTGCCCAGGCTTCGCGGCATGATTCCCTGGAATTCAATGAGTCAGCTTTGCATAGGAATTATTATTGATATTTAGTTTTCACTTTCTTAGCTTAATCCAATGACGGGAATGAAATGACGGGGCCAGTCAAAATGGCTTTGATGGCACATTGTGAGTGGTAAAAGCGGTCATTCCGTTCGAGCACAAAATAACACACGCGTTTCGTCTTTTGTTTTTTTTAAACATAAATTAACGTCATTAGTGTTAGGTATTAATATATATAATAGCACTGAAAAAGAAGTCTGTGAGTATTAAGCCAGAATTTTAGGAACGAGAATTATAAGTCAAAATAACAGAAAAATAAAAACAAATTGCACCTCCCTTTTTAGTATATTTAAGTGCTAACGAGAACATCATATATCACTATAAATTTGCAATAGTGCTATTATACTAACTACATCGCGTTCAACCGACAGTCATAAATCGTTATTACGTCTTTTATTATGGGCATACACATACTGTGTGCTTGTAAAGGGGGTAGTTATGAGTTCAAGATATAAATAATCTGTGCTCGTTACTGGCTGATATCGATAAATAAAACACGAGCGGTCTTTTTACGCGGGGTAAAGTGCCGTGTTTGTTACCATAGTAACGATGTTCATTCCATGTCAAAAAATTGGTAACTATAGTAACAGACTCGGAACTTGGAAGCGTAAACAGATCATCGTGCTCAAATGTTACCTAATTCCAACAATATTACATACAGGTTGAACTGATGACTTCACTTTTTTGAAGATGGTTTGAAACCTTACCCACTTGAAAGAATCTTTAACTAGGTTTAGTAGTTACTAAGATCACTTTCAAAAAACAAATTCATAAACTTTACCTCTTTATATAATTTACGTATTTGAATTCAATAAAACGATAGATATAAAGGTCTTCCTTTAAAAGACTTCTCTTGTATAAACGTTGCGAAGATTTGAAATCGTTAATTCATACTTGAGTTCATCCATTTTCATAACTATTTCAGGACGACTTGATGAGAACTCAAAGAGGAAGATAAGTATCATAATATAGGTCTTTAGTTATTTATAAAGACCATGGTCGGGTTAACAATCACCCATTTACCGATAAAATTGCTTAACGTTATTAAACACCTCTTAATTGAACTGCTCTTAACCTATTTTTTTACACATTTTACAAGATTTAACATATTTTTGGCCATCTGGCTATGGCCATCTGGCATCTGGCATTATTTACCATAAATAAATTGTCTAACATAGACATCCATGACATTACCAGCAAGCTGAGTAGCATGAGGGCGGCACATTTGGGGAGTGGATTTCTTTTTGCTACCTCATATAAATCAAACAGATTTTGACGTTTTCTGTTTTTTTACTGATAGAAGATTGCCTTGCCTAGCCATTGTACATTTGGTGTAGCAATATTCTAGAATAAAACAGCTAGATCGCCTCCCCCCAACCAGAATCTCACCTCTGCGGCCTCAGCTCACACTTATAAGTGAAAACAGCGAAATAGCAGAAAATGTATTTCCTTCTTCCCACTTCACCCTATCAACCTATACATTTCAGTTTTACTAATGGTTGGAGGCTGCGAACTGGATGTTGTATATAATTTTGTTAAGACACTTTAATAAGAGAACTTATACTAGGTTATTGTTTTTTTTTTTTTTTTTTGAAGTAGACCATTGTTATCGTTATTTTTAATTGTACCTCTAATGATTGAAGTCGTGATATTTCTGAAAAATTTCTTGTGATTTTAAATATTTTGTGCATTAACTTAAATACTCATTTGTATATAAGCTTTTAAGGTTATGTAAAAAGATAAATCTTAGACTAACAAAGTTATTTTGGCCTTCGGCGTTTGTTCTTAATATTAAAAATACGGTGAATTTGTGTAGGCCAAAAGCAGAAATTACTGAAGGGCCACTTCAGGCTATAATCTATATTGCGACTGCATTAAAATATAAATAAGATAAATAAAATTTCATGGTCGTACTCTGGAACGTACTTTCAATATATTTTACTTTCATTAAAATATATTGGGTCAGAGTAATATTGTTTCGGTTTGAATAATTGATACAGATCAAGTTATAAGATAAAACTTCTAAGAAATCTAGAGAGGTTTCGCAATTCTTTGAAAGTTACATTAACATATGATTGATCGAACATAAAACATAACGTAGGCGTCAAAGTTTGAAATTCAAAAACCTTTGGCATTTGCCGCCTTATTGGTTACGAAAAATTATGTGGGAGTTCGAACTGTGAAAGTTATTCGAAATGTCAGCGGTTTTGCAAGTTTAACGATAAATTTAACATAACGAGATTTCATTACCTCAATATGTACTTTAAAAGATTTATACTATTTGAATTAATTCATCTAAATTCATTGAAAATGATCTACTTATGTAAATGTTTATCTTTTTGGTCTCTCAAAAAGAAACGCGAATATATTTAGTCCTACAGGACTAGTGTAGGTGGAACATTGTAATCCTTTGATAATTTTGTCTAAGTATATTGGCCAAATTACAATTGTTCTTATGTAATTGAAATTAATATGTTATATCGTCCAAAAATTTTCACGCTTTCACTTATTAAAGGAATTTTATACATATAAAGTAATATTAGATTTACTAAACAATACAGTATAATATAGTTATTATATAATTTTTTTTCTTATAAGCAAAACTTGATTAGTACAAAAGTAAATAAGATAGGCTTAATGCATTATAAATGTATAGAATAAGAGTGGATACCTATCCTCCATTCGACATTCTCCATCCCTGGCCTTGCAAGCATTCTTGAACCGGTCAAAGAGAACAGAGCAGGGTTTTTCATTATGGCAGACACTCAGCGCATAGGTGCAGGTGGGTAAAGTTTCCACTGGGTACGGGTCTTTCTCTGAAACAATTTGATAAATTTTCTTTATAAATAGTTGTAATTTTTGGATATCGGGCAAAACTAAAAAACCGACACACAATCATTTAATTTAGTAATTTTACTCACTCAGAGATCACTGAACTGTTAGTTATATGATTATTTACTTTGCTATTCAAGCTAGAAGTTAAATTTTAGATAAACAACAATTTTTAAATAAAATACTTATATTTCCATAAATATCTTATATTGAATATTTTTGCGTATATATTCCCTTAGTTTATTTTAAATCTTACCCTTCTTCATAACAAAAACGCAGGGATGGTCAAACAGAAAGTCGCGGAAAGAGTTACATTCAGGGTCAACGTTCGGTTCTCGACAGAGGCAGGTCGGCTTGAAGAACGGAAAGGCTTGCAGAGTCCTCAGCGCAGCTTGGCATTTCGTCACGGTTACGGTAGAGCAGGCAACTGGAAGAAATTATTTATATAAACTTACTTAGCAATTTCATTAATTTACGTAACTCGACGTTTCGAGTGCTTTCGTGGTCACCGCTTGAAAATTATCTTTTGAAACGTGTTTTTTTTTGTAAAATTTCAGTCTTCTGTTCCTACCAAAACTTTTAACAACCAGCAAAAGGGAAATTACAAAAATTAATATAATTACAATTATTATTTACATGGGAATTTCGAGCTGTACGCAATGTATAGCGACACTAAGCGACAGATAGCATTTTAGTAAAGTAAACCATTTTTACCAAACCAAAAGCTAATAAAAATTATTAGAACTAATCCTTGTTGACTAAAGTAAGTTGAGTAGAAATCGAACATAATTTCCCAGTCACGACGAACTTGGTCATTACATTGTGTTTTTGTTAGAACTCGTTACAGAATGTCAGATGACGAATTTTTTTCCTTTTCCCATTCTGACCCTTGAAATTAGGAAATGTATTCGAACAAAGATTCCATTGATTTTCCTTAATGCCTTGTTACCTTTTACAGGGAAAATAGTAGTCTTAGATTTAAACACGTATGATTCTACGGTAGAAATATTTGAATACCCACTAATTTACTAGCTTGCCCAATAGATTTGTGAATCATAAGTGTGTTTCAATAATCCTTATTATGCAAAAATTACTAAATATCAATCGGTATATAATATATAGCCGAATGAGGTATTACTTAGTTAAATGTATTTTTCATCATATTAATTTTTTTCCTTTCGTAAATGTTTGAACCCTTTTGTATATGTTATGTATTTCATCTTTGGCTATTAGTATAATTGTTTTTTTATTATATCTATATAATTTAAGTTATCTGCAGGAGTACAAAATAGTAAAAAGAACATTTACAAGCAACAACACCAGTACACCAGTTTAGTGTAGTTGTATTAAAATAAAACGAATCTCTTTAATGTAGAAGTATTGCTTTTAGATAGTTGTGTGCCTGACACTGATTGTTTTCACTGGTAAATTTAATATGGTATACTTTTGTTTGCTATAAAGGTGTACATACAGATTATTAATAATTGTTTTATAAGAGCAATAATATTTACCCCTTCTTTTTAACATCCAATTTTTTTCATTTTTAATAAATTGTATAGACCTAACAATGTAGATATATAGATATCGTATTAAAAAAAACTAAATTTATCTTATTCTACTGTTAAAACTTACTTTTCTTTTTTGGTTTACCCTAAACTTCATGTAACTGAAGGAGATGAACGGGTATTATAGTCGATTTTCAATAACCAAAATAAATAACTAAAATAGATTTCCAAAGTTCGTAATGTCATTACTTATTCTCACTTATGTACTCAAATTAGCTTAGGTCCTCGAGTAGACCTTCTTGTCACTTATATTGACCTTTTCCTTAGTAAGACTGACATTTATTTTCGCAAAATTTAAAAATATATCTTTTATAAACTAGCAATACTAACGAATACTCCTTTATTAAATTTAACAATCTGTTTTCGTACGAATAGTGAATTGTTTTCATTACAGTCGTTAGCTTAAAAATGTATATTTTATTATTTTTCAAATAAAATTTGTTATTTATAAAGCATTATTGCTTCATTACTATAATTCATTTAACGAGATGACATAACTGAAGTGTTAACTGCAACCTAAATCAACCTAAATTGTGAGTTTGAACACACGACCTTAAGCTTGAAAATAATACACATAACACTAGGATAACAATTATCTCCCCCTCTACTCACTTCCCTCCCCGGGTGGCAATAATTCCATAAAAAGCCATCCCTATATTATTATAGAGACTAAACAGCTTTCTCCGAGAAATAAAGCATAAAAAATGAGCGAGAGTCAAATTGCTTTAAAAATGGGCAACTAAATCCATCTATTCTTGCCATAATGGGCTTCAATGACCCGTCGCGAGTCGCTGTCATATTGACAAGGGTTGTACATTATCGATGTTAATGCTCAAAAATTCCCTCTGAGTAACCCTAATTTGCCTCTTGCGGTCACTAAAATTTACCTATTCATACATAATAGGTGAAAATATACTTGGTAACCATAACGGTTTTACGGTGTTTTGGTATGCAAATATTGTATATTTACATTTTATTGCACAATACAATTGCAGGAAAATAGTATATTAACGAAAAACTTAAGAAAACGTAGTGCAAAGCCCTTACTGCTAAGCGATCTCTTCCAGGCCCTAATTAAATTAAAAAATATTGTGAAGACGTGCAAGAAGTGCAATTAATTAAAAATTCAATAATAATAATATTAATATAAAAAAAATGAATGAAAAAGACAAATTATTTCTAAAGTATTTTAGCTACGTTTTAGCTACATGATTTACCAATAAACAATAATTAATTCGCCTTTATATATCCTCGACAAAGTTTAATTTTCCTTTTGTGTATTAATTATATGAAAAATAAACTTTACCTAATTTAAAATTATTTAAAAATCTATTCAAATTTCGAATGTCTTTTTAACCTAAAAACGATTTGAAGAACGTTATTCGATACTATTTAAAGTCGTGTATTTTTCATCCTACAATTTAAGATCCACTTAGCCGGTACATATTCTTGAATGCCATAATTGTATAAGCGTGATGAAATGGCACACACGCAACACGGCCAACTTTAAATGGAACACCTACAAACAGTTTGAAATGTGCTTTTTAATATTTTTCAAGTGAGTATGGTACATTAACTTTTACCGTATTTTTAACGACTACAGTTATTCAAACAGTTTTGTCTTTCCTGTCTTATGTAGGGCATGTGGAGATATAATAACTAATATAACAAGTCTCCAAAGCAGCCTCTATCCAGTTATAGATTGGTGGAGACAAAATCGTGTATTAAGCGAACCGACCACAATAAGAATACAACATACGATCTTCTTAATAGATAATTGATAATTCGGACAGTCAATAATGGTGAGGTTGGATGAAGTCCAGCTGCAGACGTCTGCCGAAGCTCAACTTTTGCGGAGTCATTTTCAGTAGTTTTTGCATTCCAGCCACCAGGTCGAATTAAAACATTGTGTCCTTATATACTGAGCATAAGTCTACGTAGCTATTTAGCACTACGTAGCGTTTGTTTCGTAGCACACTTACGAAACACATAAGAATTTAAATAATATAGGGTTTTTAAATTAAGAATTTATTATTCATTTACATGTTATGGAAATATAAAAAGCATTTAAGTTACATAATTTAAAGTACAATTCAAAAAGAAAGGAATATGCCTAAGGATAATTAAGATGGCCCCAAGAGAGCTTGACACTGAAATATACTCACTATTATATTATTAGAAATTATAATTAACTTTTTACAATTATATGTAAATTATATCACTTTGTAACACAGGCTTGGTAAAGTTTATTTATTGCGTAACATATCATGATCATTCTCGAGTAACACCCTACCAAGTAATAAAAGTCGATACATTTCATTAACGTAGTATTTTATACGGTGTAGTCTCTCTGGGGAGATGGTTTTTTATTTCCGCGGAAGGTTCATTACATTAATTACAATTTGTGATAGTCTATGTCATGCCTTATGGAAATAATTTAGTAATTATAAAATAAAGGTTGCAGAAATATTTACTCTTCTGTTGTATGCTTATTGCTTAGTTTATATATTTATTAAGGTATTAAGATTGTGTCATTAGCACACTAATGTCTACCTTCTAAGACCATAAATCAAGTAAAATTACTACACTTTTACATAATCATTTGTGATTGTAGTCAAAATTACGTTCTGAAGCCAAAATAGCACACTTAAAAGCGAAAGTATTTTTAGCTATCCGATAAACTTGTTAAGAAATTTGAATATACGTAAAATAGTATATAAAATAAATAACTAAAGGATATTTATAAAAAGAACTAAAAAAAGTACAACAAACTAAAACAATACAATAATTCATTGAATAAATGATGGGCGCCAGGAGAATTTCTAAAAAATAAATTGTTTTACTAATAACCTAATTAGACACCTTATTTCAGAGCTTTTGCCAAAGCTAAAAAACCATTTGAAATAACTAATAAAAAATCTAAACTAATTAAAGAAAACTCACCCCTTACGAAGTTACAAAATAAATCCAAAATTTGATATAATACAATTTATAAATCAATAACGTCCAATACACGGAAATCACCGTCTATGTCTATCTTTTTCCACTGCTTTATTATAAAATAAACTTTTTGAACTTAGTAAAATCTCTTTTGTATACTAAATAAGTCTGAATCGTGTTAAAAGAATTGCTTATAAAGCATTTCAAACATTTTAAAGTCAGTTTCCAGCTCCGTCTTTCTTTTTGTACCTATTAGCTCAAAGCTTTCAAAACTCGAATGTCGAACACATTATTTGCAAACAATACTTGACCATACCGAAACTAGAATAAACTTGCTAACAACACAATAATAAGTCTAAATTCAAATAGTTTTCGAGTTGAGGCAGAATCCTGCCTTCACAATGGCATTGTTCCATTGTTATATCAAGTTCATGGCCGTAGTTATAATTCTTTCGACATTCGAGAAAATTCTGTGAAATCCATAATTTTTTGTGTAATTGGGCACCTTGTAGATATGGATATGGGGACATGTTGAAGTATTTCTTTCGTTGTTTCAAGGGTTATCGTAAATTTTGTGTAACGAGTCGACACTTTTAATCTCCTTAGAACGCTGGACGTTTGGAAATTAGTAATTAAACAATAAAGTAGTTACGTTTAAAAATATAACTATGTATTTTAAATGAAGTAGAAATTTAAAAAATTAAGTATTTTTAAAGAACGAGTGTTTGACATAATGGTCTTATCATCACACGACAAAGTCATCCACGTAAGAGTCGATCCTCACATTATTTGGCTTAAACATCCAGAGAAGGAGAACAACTGGCAAATGACATAATCGCTCTAACCGGAAATCAAACCTGATATCGCCAGCGTCATAGTTACATAGTTTTATACTTATTATAACATTAGTTATAATAAGTTAAGAATATTAATTCGAGTTTTGGTGAAATTTGAAAGTACCAGAATCCCAGACACGTTCGTAACATTTCAGTTTAATGTAAAAGAAAATATTATATTTAAGATTAAAAAATTGGGAATTTGAATCAAAGTACTCGTATAACATTAATGATGTTTCTCTGGAGAATTTTCTTTTCTAATTGTAGAAACATTTTAACGAGCGAGTCTTTTGAGGGCAGAATTATTTACTGAATAACTTAAAACCTTTGTTAATGTTACTAATTTTTGTCGATATTTCTTTTAGTATAAAAGAAAACAAGAATACATGTTCCTTTAGAATTTTAGCAGGCATACAAAAACATTAAATATATGGTTTAAACAGAAGAATCGTATAAATCAGTATGTACATTAAATTTTAGACACCAATTTTTTACATATAATTTTTATATTAAACGTTTTATTACTATTTTAAATATACACTACTGCCATCCATTCCTTCGCCCAACGGTACACCTCTTTCAGAGGCCCTTATGTCGTTAGCCACTTGTCTTAAATACAAAAACAAAAGTTCTCTCAGCTCTCATATTTTTACTAACCAGAAACTACACCTGTTAACCCTATCTTATGTTCAAACTACTGCTTCAGTTTTAAAATACATATGACAGGTTTTACTTAGGTACTTGACTTATAGTCAAGCCGTAAAACCGCTCAAGACACGGGAATAATATTGCCGCATACATTTTACTGTATATTTTTTATGTAAAATAAAATTAACAAATTTATCTTTGCTTTCTTCCTTGAAATTATTTAATAGTATAATTACTATTGTTAAGCCATTGTGCACTGTAAAAGATAGGCGATGAGCCGTTTTCTAAATATGTAATTGTAAAATAAAATTTGCAATACAAATTCAAAGGGTTGTATTTGAGATTGCGGTTACAAATAAATACGAATCTTGGAACATTTACCTTTATTACTAATTTAATATTATCTTAAAAAAGTAACGTAACAAATTTTCAGTAATTTCGACTGCAATATTTATTTACTTGATTACTATCAAGTAAGTAACTATTTATCATACATTTACTGTAATATATATAGCTCAGTATATTTTGGCAATTATTTTTGAGATAGAACACATACTGTAAGGAATCTTGTTTGTCAACAAGTGCGAGCTTTTGTTAAGCCAAAACTATTATGCATGAGCCCACATTCTGGATACAACCACGAACCCCTTTCAAAATAGTTCCGGCTGTCTATTACACTGTAGTTCAAGTATTTCTATAACACAGGTTAACAATTAAATATCTGTAAATTTTGAATGCATATCAAAAAGGAATCTGTATTTTATTTCATATTGTCTTTGGTTACCTTTTCAATAAAACTTATAATATACTTATACATATATGTATGATATTGAATTATGTAAATAATATAATAATTCCGCGTTTATATTCGTTTATTTTATGTGTTATTTTAAAAAAAAGAACAAAACGCAGATACAAAATATAACTTTTTTGTTCAATATTTATTCCTATTAATAATGGTTGTTAAGTATATACATTATACAAGAGTGTAATTGTTAGGATAATTACCTAATAATACGTTTCTTACTCTAAGTTGGCTAAGATTTATTTATTTATCATTTACGCACTTTTGTCGCATGAATTTTGTATATATGATATACCATATCTAAGAGTTAAAATACAGCGAACAGTTTGTACTTTCTATTTAAACGCTTTTAAGACTCTGAAATCGTTCTTATGTAGTAAAGTTATGTATTTAAAAAATCATGTTTATATGCGTTCAAGGACTGTTATTTAAACGTGTAGTGTTCGCATGAACTAAAAACTTGACAATATTAATTTAAGTAGCCTTCACTCCGGTGAAATTGCGTCCATCGAGAGATTCATCCCTTGTATAAAGATAATATAGCAGAACTCTGTCTGAGGATCTCGTAAAATATAGAGGTAGGGAGACGAATGCCCAACCGTCGACAGTCTTTTAAGCTTAGACATTGTATACAATAAACGCTTGTGAGAAACAAAGATGCTGTTTTTTATGTCCTAATATATAAAATTCTCGTGTCACAATGTTCGTTCGAATACTCCTCCGAAACGGCTCGACCGATTCTTATGAAAGTTTTTTTGCATATTCAATAAGTCTGAGAATCGGCTACTATCTATATTTGAAACCCCTAAGTGATAAGGGGACACCCCTTATCACTTAGTCCACCCAAAATAAAACAAATAAAAACAAAATTTTTGTTTTTATTTGTTTAAACAATTTATTAGTATTGTAGAAAATTAAGTCAATATGATATTACTTACTAGCCATAATTATTGTATAGGCTAGATTGTAATTTATGTAAAGTCGCACTCTTTTTTGTGAACTTATAAAGAAAAAGAATATATAGTATGTAATAGAAAATATAGTATGTAAACAAGGTGGTCATTGTGAGATTTTCTCAAAATATACAAGTTGATAAAGTTCTAGTGACTTTAACTGAAGTAATAAATAAATTGAGAACAACAACCTCATAAACCACATAAATCACAGTAAAACTCACAAAGTCGATCATTCTTTTAATTTGGGTGACTAAGCTTGCCCTCCTGACCTCCTTACGGCCTATTGTTACATTTCCTTGACCGCTTCAACCTTATTACTGAGCAATAAGGTCGAAAAAACTAACCATTGTTAAACCTCTTTTGTTATACGTTGTATTAATATTTTCACACCTGTATTGTTCTTTAGAATATGTTAAAAATATAACAGCTGATTCTGAATGTTTCTGTTCGTATAAAGCTTCGTTTTTGTGATTGTGCTATTTAGTGTGCTTGAAAAAGCTTGCATTTAAATTTGATTTTAGCCTCTTGGGATCAATGACCTATATAAATTAAGATTTCATTATCTGAAGGATATATATCTATAGGGGGATATATAACATATGAAATGTGCTTCTCAGAAACAACTACTTATTTTAATATCCTAATCTGGTTATTGTATTGACCAGTAGTTGAAGTAGTCTTTCTGAAAAATACTTAATAAGACAGTATATACAGTAAACAGGTAATAAAGTGAAGAAGAAAGCAATCTTCATGGACATTATTAGGTAAACTGCCGAATTTGAATCATCTTCTTCTCAATATCTATATGTCCAATATAGTAATAAAACAACCTCGACAATGACGTCCTTTTAGATACGTCATTGTCGAAGTTTTATTACTATATTGTTCTTATTATGACATCGCCACAATAACCCGTATTTCTAGGTGCTGCATTTAATTATAGAATAGAGAAGTGTCCGGTGTTTTGATATGATCATGTAGTAAGTTGTTTATTAATATAGAAATTTACCTGAGAGATAGAATATATCTTTTTTTCTCCATAAAATCCTTCCTTAGAGTTCAAGAAATAAACAAAAGAAAATACTCGAATTGGTCCAGACGTATTCGAGTTTTGCACTTAGAAACATTCGTTGGGATTCATTTTTATTTATTATGTAACACAGCATTTATTCTTTCCTCAATAGAAATATTAGGTGAAGATCTTTTCACAAAAACCTAGGTTATAAATCGAGGTTGCTAGATGTTATCTCAGGATCCCCTGAGCTTGAAAGCTCAAATACAATAACGCGACAGACACATCCATTTAGTGTTCTTTAATGTCTTGTAAGAATATAGCATTTTCTATGACCCTTTTGGAATTCTATAATCTACGGGTGTTGCTTAAGAAAAGAACAAAAATGTACTTCATTATTGCAATTGGGTTCAGTAGACGAACTGTAAATAAAGTTGGAGGGCGAAAATAAACCAATACATTGGTATTAAAAATATAAAATGTATGAGATATTAATTAATAAGTTACCAGCATTTGTAGTAATAATTACGTGACAACTCTAACAATTAAGTGTTTCTGTGGCTCCCAAGAAAAATATATCGTTTACCCACATTGGATAAAACGTGAAAATTTCACTCACGGTTATTTTATCAAACAGTGAAATTACAATAACTAATGATAGAACAACAATAGCGTTTCGTAAAGCTAATTTAAGCGATCGATCAACGAAGCTTATTCCTGTCGCCTTTGCCTAATTTTATTTGTGTTATTCGTCACGATTAGTCTGAAGATTGATGTCCACTTAAAGACACCGATTTCAATGTGCAAGTTGGTTAACAGCCTCATTGCACTAATGGTGGTAATGGGTCTGAATGTGTAAAGGAAAATAAATAAGAAAAAGACACTTACCGCTAAGTATGACTACTGTATGTTAAATCTATATGTTTTTGATAAAAAGTAAGCTTTTTGAACGTAAAGCTGTCGGTCTTGCAATACCTGACATCCCTATTTTATATGTTATGGAATATGTTTCTTCTACTTGTGTTTGTTCATAATCTTGTGCATCATCCATCGTCAATGGCCAGTATCAATTTTAAATGAAAAGTATAGTTATACTCATTTTGTTCCGGTGGCAGATATTAGGACTTAAAAAATTTATTCTTTACAATAAAATTTAAATCTTTAAATTTAAAAACAAAGTAAAGGTTCAACTTTTCTTCCGCATATATTAAATTATTTAAAGTTAAACGTCTCGTTATTCCGCGGTTACTTTTAACTGACTGTAATAATATTTGTTATAAAGTAATCGCGTAATTAGTGGAAAAAAACTACATACCAAGTTCGGATCCACAGACGCGCGGTATGATTTCCAAAATGGCGGAGCAGGAGGCATCTTCGAAGCAGAGTTGTCGCGCCAGTAAACAGTTGAGTATCGCCATGGTACCTTTTATACCCGGCCCTGAAAAAATACAATTTTATAATTTTCTTACACAAACATATTATTAAATCCATTCATATTTTTATGTTTTAAGATTGAAATTTCTATATTTGACTAACCTAGAGAGAATTCGGAATAAAAATGAATAAGTTTCAGTCGGTATTACAATATTATAAGAAGATTTTTATTAAAAAAATATTTACCAAAAACATTACGAAGTGATAATAAATAGGTGTTCTGACCGCTATTAATCAAATTTGACAGCCGTTTATGGAAAGATAAATGTTTACGCGTCGTAGAAGTTACTACTGGTAATGGAATACATAAGTCACCACACGAACTATAAAATTAAAAATTAAAAATGAGCTTCTAAATACTTATAATAAATAGTGCTTAGAACAAACTTTACGGTTGTTTTAACTTACCACCGTACTATGAGTTATTCATAAAGAGATAAACTATAAAAAATATTGAAATTTGTTAGACGCAATCTCAAATTTCCTTAACTAATTGGGCATCAAATTTCGTAACGCATCTCCAATGGTTAGAGACAATTTAATAGATAGGTTGAAAGAATGACATAATAATTAAAATAATAATTAACAGACAAATTATCGTCTATTATCTATGTACCTACTTGTATCGTGTATCAATACGTTCAATTACAATAACGTGTGTTTCAAGGATAATAAGGTCAGACGGGCGATTAGACGTAGCAAAGGTAATTAAGGTATACTTGAATAAGTAACATACGTGAGCCTAATAAGAAACTATTGATTTCAGTGTTTGGTAATTGTGTTATAACTTAGATTAACGTAACGTGATAACTTCTAATAAAGCCTTTTGATCCAATTGGAAAGATGGGTACACACATGCAATAAACACTTCATTATCGAATAATAATAAAATGAATTCATAACTAAAACGTTGGAAGTATATTTGCGTTTATTAAATAATGATATTTTTAAGTGTCTTGTTACCAAAAAAAACGTGTGGCACTCGGGGACTGCCGCGGTAAAGCTATTGCATAGAATTTTTTATCAACTTATGCAATTATAATTATTTATTTATGCAGTATTTTTTTTCTTTGATATTAATTCAATCTACCACTCTACCAGACTGAGGCTTACCCGCTCTAACGCGTATTGGCCTCACCTATATTACGTCATCGTGTGTTAGCTTTATTTCGTTACGGAATTTCTTGATTCGGTCGCCGCGCTCAAAGCCCTCGATAAAATCTATGCAATAGCTTAAAACTTGTATTCATACTTATTTATATGTGAACACAGCTTGATTCAATATGGTTAAGCTTTAAACCTTCAAACACTGAACTGTTAGACAAAAACTACTTAATGCTTCCATAGTTCTTCGTTTTGATTCTAAATTTAAATAACAAGTCATTGTAGATGTATCATATTATGTAGTTGACATATCCACCCATTTATTACGATTTCAGTTTGATTTTAGTTTTATCAATGTCAATACATCTATATAGATCAAAATCAAGATATGTTGCTAAGATTTAAACTCGAAGATGGTTGACCAATTTAAGTATTTCTTGAATTCTGAGGAAGATTTTTAGCACAGCAAAATTATATATGAAGCTACTAAAAAGATAGGCTAAGTAAACAATCATACTAGTTAGCTAGTTTTAAATATATATTTGATCCTCAAAATAAATTCCTACTCATAAGCTAAAACTTTAACAATATTACCGTGAACTGAAAATAGCGGGCTTGACTAATTCACGAAAGGATCAATAGTCTTAGGCTTGTTTCTATTTTGATAAATTTATTTCCGGTAACAGGTTTTCCAGGATTTCGAGACACGTTCGATCCAAACTCGCTCGAATCGAAATGTTTATAAGTAATTCAATATGATTAAGAAAAATGATTAAAAATTCTTTTGTATGTATTCAAAGGAACTTTCGTTACTATAATTAAGATATAATTCCTAAAAAAATAAAATTAAGCTTTTTATTGGCATTCCCGTAAAGTGTAAATGATTTATTCATTGCTTAGTTACTTATTTACACGATGAAATACACGTAGTGAGGTAACAGGCAAGACAAAACATACAGAGACAGCGATATGTATGACTCACGAATCTTAAAAACAATAAAAGTATTGTAAAGTATTGAATAACTAATATTCATCTTTAGACTTTACTACTTGGACCTACAACAGAAAGTGTGTCTGGCACAAAATGAAAGAACCCACTTGCATATTAAAAAAATGAAGAAAACAAATACAGTAATTTAAGTCATAAATCAAATGTGACGCTTTAATCTCACCCATCACGATCTTACCACCTCTACGAAAAAATTATACGTTTGCAGCGCAGTGAAATACGAAGTTCAAATTTAACAAAACAATGTTAAGTCAAGCGAATGTAAAGACCTTGCAGATGGCAGTTAACAAGGGTTGTGTACAGGTACTGGCATTCGAAATTTGAATTTGTTGTAAAGAACTTAAATTAACTTGGTACCTGCAGGTTCAATAGGTACTTATACTTTTAAACTGACTCGAAGGAGGATCTAGGTTGAGTTGAGTTTTATTTTACTAGTTCGTTGAGCTTAGCTTTATAATATTTTGTGCATGGTTTAAAGTATCAATTACTCCGATAGAGCGGCAGAAACTTTCCTGCCCTGCGATTCTGTAACTCACTTTTCGAACTCTCACAGCGGTTTCCGCAGCGGCGGTCGCTCTCAAAACAGTCGTGAAGCAGTCATTTTATGATTAGGCATTCTGATAACGTGGGAATTTGTAGTTTATTGTTTATCAGAATGCCTAATCATAAAATGACTGCTTCACGACTGATTTGAGAGCGACCGCCGATGCGAAAACCGCTGTGTGAGTTCGAAAAGTGAGTTACAGAATCGCAAGGCTGTTCTTAAAGGAATGTAGAAGGACTTCCAAGTTAAAAAAATATTGTTAAATTTACAGAAAATCCAATGCAGTTATTTCCACGGCAATGTGTGAATCTATTCTTGACAAATATTAAGTTCTTAACATACATGTTTTTCATGACACATATAAAACATGTAAAATTACCTCGTTCAAACGCTTTTACAACCTATTTAATTTTAACCAGCCTTCTTCATCTTCGTCTTTCGTGTCAAAATTTACTAATTGAGAACTTATTATAGTTTTACGTATCGTATTTTCTTATATCTATTTTGTTTTAGATAGTAAATATTGATTTTTGCTACAGTTCAGAGTTTGTAGTTCAAAATCTCATCAACAGTCAGTGTATAGGCTAAGCCTGACGCTGTTATGTGGGATTATAGAATTATCACGTCTGGCCGCGTCTGTCAGGTCACGATTGGATCACAGTTTCTACAACCAACTAACTAAAACCTGCTATTTTTTCAAATTGACCATGACCAATCAAAGATTCGGATCAAAATTAGCTCGTTAATTAACCTGGTTATAATTTTAGTTTTTTTTGTAGTAAAATTTTAAAATGTTTCGAATTTTTTCATTCGATTCACTCATCTTGACGGTACGAAAAATAAATAAAAAACAGACATTATCCTAATTTGATTTTGGAATTATCTTCTTTAAAATCTCAACTTTCCTTGATAACAAAACCAGCCAGATACATATAGTATAGCCAAAGAGATTTTATAACAAGTTTATACATACTAAAATGCGGAAAGACTTTTTCCCCAACCTAATATATTAGATTATATTATAACTCTTCAATTCCAATGTAGCTATTACTATTACTTACTTAGTTTTTTTTTCTCACTTTACTAAAATCTATTAAGAATCACGAGTACATTCGTATGTGAAAAATGAAAAATTATTTAAATCTTTTTAATAAGAAATACGAAATCTAACACTTATCGATAAATTAACTAAGGTTGTAGGCTGGGCCAATTTAAAATCGGTTTCAGCTATTCGTTCATAATTCTATGAAAGGTTTCTGAGAATTTTCCATCTTTTATGCAAGAATTGTAGATTGGAGTTCTGAATATACAAGTACATACGGCCTGCTTTTAATTGAGTATTGAGAATTCAGTTTGACGAACTGTTGGTATGTTATTTCGGTATGAATATCCAAGTACTTTAGTACAAGTATTGATAACATAATTCGAATATCCAATATTTTAAAATGATGACTTAGGCCCATTTTAAAAACATATACACATAAATGTCACCCAGTTCTCACGTCGCAACATGCGCGCATCTACATACATATCCACAGACTTATAATGAGTCAGGAAAAAATCATGTTGACAAAAGAAACCCGTTCGTGCTTAGCCTAAAGCTGCGTATAAATTAAGCGCGGCAGCCGCGCGAGCCAATGTTCGACCAGAGTTGACGTTCATTTGCCGCGCGAGCCAATATGTAGATATAAATTTAGTTGGACGTGACAGCCGCGCGCGGCAGGCGATCCATCACGAACAGACCGCGGCGGATAGTCAGACCAGTTCACTCTTGTAACCTATTGTTACTTAGTTAAAAGTTATGAAACATACCTAGTTATGTTCATTATACAAGTGCGTCTGAATTATAATCAGAAGTGATTTAAATTTAATATTTAAATCAATACTAATTAATATTAGAAAATATTTGTGAAAAAACTGTGCTCATCAACCTTCCTAAGTGCTTCAATACAATTGAGGTTAACTATCCGTATGTATTATTATTATCGAGTATTATTTATTATTCATCAACATCAGAGATAGGTTCCTCTTTTAAATCAATGGCTATATTGTGCAATACTGCCAAAGCTACAACATATATCTTAGTATTTGGTAGAGATGTTTTAAATATATAATATATACTTTTAACTTAATAGAATTTATGTTACACTTAATGTAAGAGAATAATAATAAATATTTATTTATTTAATTTTTCAAATGTAAACTGAACTTTATTGACTATAATGACTCCTTTTCCAGTCTTTGATTATTTATTTGTATTTAATTATTTGCATGCAATCAAAAACTATTTTTAATAACGCCAAAGAAGTATAACTTCTTACGCGCGT